TTCTGAAGAAATATGGAGAAGCATAAGTGAATTCATGCTAATTGTTGTTTTGAGTTGGTGTTTTAAATTTAGCTTTGGTTTTAGTTTGTTTTCAGTTGTTTTGATTTTTGTTGTCATTTTCTTTCATTTTGAACATATTTTGGGGATAAAAGAGGGGCAGATATAAGATTTATTCCTCTTCTGCTGCCTTTCATTTTATTTGTTTTCATTTTCTGCATGTTTTTTGTTGTTTGTTGTGTATAAAAAAAGTGAAATGAATACATTTCTAAATAAAAAAAAATGATTAGGAAGTGACCTCCCACCAAAATTGCAGAAATGACTGTCGTATTAAAATAATGTTTACTTTATGTTAAATTTGGGATGCACTAGTCTAGCTGTTTCAGTTTACTGTATATACATATATCAAAGCTGCACAAAACTTTTCTCCAAAATAAAAATATATCTGAAGGCTGCGGCCAAATGCAAGAATATAATTCATGAAATACAAACACTTCTTAAGTACAGTCTTTTTATTTTAATGATTATGTCCTGCTGGAGTCTGTATCAGAGTTTTATATATTTATACTTCTCATTCAACCACAGTTAAATTCACTTTATCTAGGAGGCACAGTTTATATGGATAGTATTAATTTTTTACAATAACAAGCTGGAATGAAAACAAGCAAAATGAAATAAAAGTAACAACTTTCTCCTTCTTGCCTTTTCAAAAAATGTAGTAGAAGTAAAAAGTACTCAAGTAAAGAACAGATATCCAAAAATTCTACTTAAGTAGTTACTTTACAACTCTGCAAAACAAATAAACATTTCACACGATGAAACACCAACGATTTAAAGGTGGCCTTAATTTAAACGYAGTTTTCAGATGCATTTCATGAAAATCAATCATTTTAATTTATAGTTGTCGTTAGCATTAAGCCTACTTAATGCACTGTGCAGGTTAAAAGTTTTYATCATACAGTATATATTTTGTTATTATTTATATTCATAATGTGTTTGATCATTTTATGTTTTTCA